ACACACACACACACACACACACACACACACACACACACACACACACACACACAGATTTAAAGAAAAATAAACTAGTGAGAGGGCTGTGTCTGTAGTTCAGGGACCAGTCTTGAAATTCTTGGGGAAGTCTTGGGTAAAGCAAGGCGCATATCTTCAGCAACATTCAGCTTGTTCCTTGCTTTTGTCTTTGAGTTGGACAGGGGTAGAAAATCCACTTTCTCAAAGGAAAGTCGAGGCAAATGGGACAATGACTCGAAGTGCTATTTTGCTGACCTGAGGGTATGATTCCTGGAGTGAACACCAAAACTGTGCAAGAGATTTCTCAAGAAACGTGTCGCATGCTGACGAATCATGTCTCAATTCCAAAAGTTTGTCTTGAATGTCATCTGCAATGACAGTGATGTCTAGTCCAGGAGTGAAAGGGTTTCTCACAAAAGCTTCTTCACCACAGTCAAAGTCAGGAAATAGTTCTTGAACTCATCTTCAAGAGATTTCAAATGTGCAGCAATGTCAATTTGAAGATCAGCAGACAAGATCTCCTCTGGAATTAACAGCTGTGAAAGGTTGGTAAACATAGCAAATGTTTCCCTCTGTAACTTTCCGGTGCCAATTCTGAACTTTTGAAAGAAAGCAACTCAAAATGCCTTTAAACTGTACAAAGTGTTTCTGTTGACCTTGAAGTTTCAAGTTGAGTTTGTAGAGGTAGTCAAACATATCAGACATATATCTATAGGCAAGTCTTTGGATCCACAAATCATTTGAGAATTGCCTGCTGAGCTCATCTTTTTCCTGCACTTCCAGGAAGAACTTGGTCTCCTCTCTCAGTTCCAAGACCCGACATACAATGTTTCCTTTCGATAAACACCTTGAAGAGTCGTGTATTTAGGTGGCTGCGTTTCACATAGTTGAAAACCTTAACAGTAGATTCCAACGTTTCCTTCACAGTGGGATTGAGAGTTTTGCAAGCTAGTGCATATCTATGTATCATGCAGTAAATGCCTTTTGCGTGTGGTGCTTTGTCTTGCACTTTTGTCTGAAAGCCTGACTTAAATCTTATTATGGCTGGGGTACAAATTCCACACACATTCTTCCACTCAAGACCCTAGTTTAAAAAAAAATTAGGATACACCTTGTTCATGACATCATCTGCTGCTGTTGTAGTGTCCAGCGGGGTGCAAAATAAAAATTGTTCTTTCTCGTTTTTTTCAAATACGTATTTCACAAAGACCAGTAGCTGTCAGCACGATGCCACATCAACTGATTCGTCAAGCTGGAACGAGAACATAGGGGCAGCTTTGATCTCCTCTACAACCTGTTCCTTAATGTTTGAAGACATATATGTGCAATATGCCTCTTTGACAGCATCATTTGAAAACGGAACTTGCGGCAATTTCTTTGCACTAGCCTCACCTAACACCAGACATTCAACTGTGCCACCTTTATTGTGCAAAGCTTTATAAGTTCATATATATGTGTTTCTCCAATTGTGAGTGGTCTCTCTTATTATAGTCTCTCTCTCTCTCTCTCTCTCTCTCTCTCTCTCTCTTCTTTATCTCCTTTGCCTTTGTCAAATTTCCTGACATAGCCTTTCTTGTGTGTTTATTGTTCTGCCACGCAATAACATAGTTTTATAATTTATACGCTAGACTTTTTTCTCAGCTAGGCTTATGATCTTTTCAGAGATGACGAGCTTGATGCCTACATCATATGACATGGGATAAAAAGAGACAATAATAGTGAAATGGAGTTTCCATGATAATAATTTTTTTTACTGTGACATCCCTTGGGCATGGGTTGGATCTACGCCAGGGCCTAGGCGTACACAAATTAAACTTGAGCGAGAAAGGTCTGGATGAAAATATGCATGACTATCACTATCATGCTTCCCCTGTAACCCCTTTCTCCGAAGCCAGTAGTAGTACTCTCATGTAGCTCGTCATAAACGAAGCTTCAAGGTATTGTGCGTTGGCCTATGGCTAGGCTATATTATATATTGAAACAAAAGAAAACACTGTAAGTCAAACCTAAGATAGGCCCACATAAATAGGAGGGGCAAACTGGGGTAGCCTTGTTGATTCTTTGGCCGTGTTTAGTCAGGTGTTTACCTTTTCGGAGTGTCTACGTACACGGTAACCGGGTGCGTAGCCTCAGGGTCTACGTACACGGTAACTGGGCACGTAGTCTCAGTATCTACGTACACGGTAACCGGAGGATCCAAGAGATAGTTCACTCAGCCAAAAAGAGTGTCACTTTTATTGCTTTTCACACAAGTAGGGTACTTCTGTTCGCAAAGTTTGCGCTTTTTCGAAGAGGACGCACTAGGGTCAACCGCTCTATAGTCCAGCATGATACCCACTAAATTTCATAACAGAGCGTCCAGTAAGCCTTTACTTTCGCTTTCGTTACCACCTAGTAATTTGTCAGTAATTGTCTGATAACGCAACAATTATTGTAACATGAAGGTTCGGCATTACAAACGTGGTGTCGCCATGAAAATAAATCAATATTTGTCACTGTGTCAGGGGGGCAACATAAAGAAAAGAAAGTTATACAAGCATCTTGTCGGGCTCGCCATTGTGACCGGTCAATGAACCTGCGTGTGTTTTGAGTGCTTCTAAGTACAGGACTCAGGAATGGGGGGAGATTATTGATTTTTTAAAGAGACGTACTCGGGGATAGGGGGAGGGCTGGACGCAACACCAGAGGACAAAAAAAAAGCAACTGAAACTGGGAGCAAATATGTTTAATGTTTAGAATTCTGATTACAACTACAGCTCTGCTAAGTAAGATTTTCAGTGTCACTGCATTTTGCTCTCCCTTTAGGAAAGATGACAGGGAGTAGATTGGGATCATTTTTGGGATTACATTCCGCTCACAACACACAAAAAGCAAAGTGAAAAAGGAAAAAGGTCAAGGTCGTGAAGGGAGCGAAGCAGATACCTTGCACCTAGCTCAAGCCCCCCCCCCCCCCCCCCGAAACAAAATACCCGGTTACCGTGTTCGTAGATAGTGAGAGGCGCCCGGTTGCCGGTCACCGTGTACGTAGATATTGAGGCTACGCGCCCGGTTACCGCGTGTGTGACATTGAGACTACACGCCTGGTTGCCGGTAACCGTGTTTAGCAATGCCAATGAAAATTTTAATTTTCACTTTAGCCCTTTTTTATTTGGTACCTAAGAAAGAATTTTCAATTCTAAGAATTATGCTTCTTGAATTTTACGAATCGGTTCATAAATACAAAAGTTATGGGGTTGTAAAGGTTGGTAAAATATGGATGACCCACATATAGGAAAATACTCCTAAAAAGTGGACCACGCAGTAGCAGATTCTGTAAGAAAATCGACGATATCTCGGTATCTAATCGGTGTGTTAGAAAGAAACTTGGCTACCCTATGAGTTTTTGGGTGTAGAAATCATTTCTCCAATCAGGTTTACTACCCATTTCGTAGTTATTTTTTTATAATTAAAATTTTGGTGTACATATTACGATTTTGCGAAAAAGGGGTGTCAGGATGAGTCCATTTTATTTATAGCATCGTATCACAACATGGGATCTTTAAGAATATATGTCGGCAGCGTGACAAAATAATTGCAAAGCTTTTTATGATGACTTTAGACCTTGCCAACCGCAAAAGATAAGTTAATTCAAGCTAGCATGTCGTACAATTAAAAATTCTTTTTCCTCGTTGAGACGCGAGCACCCCGAGACGAGATAACCTCGCCTCGGAATACCCCCATTGCGATGTTACAGGGGAATAGAGAGAAAAACAACCGGATGCGTGCGCCCGCCATTGCCCTATTTCAAGTGACCAATGAACGGGCCCGAAATAGTCATGCGGGGATTTGTAGGTCACATACATTTGCCGCGAGAGTGAGGGGAAAATGGCCGGTCTCCGTGCGAAGCCGCTTTGGACAAGGGGGTAGTCGTAGATTTACGAATGGGTCTAAACAACTACTTGACACAGAACGTTCAAATTTTAGCACACTATAGAGGATAGATAGGTCTATTACCATCTCGGCGTTGAAATTCAAACTCCTCATAGTTTTCGGTGTACCCGATACGAAAGTGTTCCCGACACCAAAAGTATAGGTTAATTTATGTGTACGAACTTCAATGTCCACATATCATTAGTTTTCCCTATTTTCTGATTGGTTTCCGAGTTTCATTCGGATTGGTTCGGAAATAGAGCAGACCGAGGTTGACAAAGTTAGTCACCTACGCTTCGGCCGGGTCCGCAAAATCGCCCGCAAACGGGGACCTAATTTTCGTCGCGCGGGAAAGCCCGATTGGCATTGCTACCGTGTTCGTCATGAGGCTACGTGCCCGGTTACCGTGTACGTAGACCCTGAGGCTACGTGCCCGGTTACCATGTACGTAGACACTCCAGGTGATCTTGTAGTTCCGTTCGTTAAAGTCCACGATCCATTTGTTTACATCCAGAGAAGAAATCCAGAAGTCTTGAAGACCAAATACTAGATTTCTATTGATTTCTATTTGAATTAGGCTACACTACACAAAGAGCAGGGATGCAACCTAACTGCAAAACATCAAATTAGGACAAAATTCAGGGGGGCATGCCCCCCTGAACCCCCCCCACCTCCATATTTTTTTTAGGTCAGGGGGGCAAGCCCCCCTGAAGAAACCCCCCTGCTTGACTTTAACGAACGAAACTACAAAATCGCCACACTCCATTACCTTTTTTCTCATCTCAGCCAATTGAAGAGGGAAAGTTCTTTCTTTAATTGCCAGGTAAAGAAAAAGAGCAATGTTTTAGTTTTCCTCAATGATATCGCGACCCCCTAAGAATGGTCACACGACCCCCCGCGACCCACAGGTTGAGACCCCTCATCTGATCTAGATCTAGAATCTAGACTGTACTGTGTTTCAATATTTCAAAGGAGACTGCTAAACTCTAAAAAATCAAATCAGAAATCAGCTTACCTCACAAACAGCTGACAGGCTTAACAGATAAACTAAAGCTATCAACGCAGCTGTTGCAGGGACGAAACTGCTTCGATGAACCATCTTGGCTTTCTGTGTGATGCACTTGTTTTGACTGAGATGTTATTATAACTAAACTAGATTCTAGATTTCTATACAAAATCACAATCTCGGCCTAATTATCATCTGACTTATCTCACCGAAGGGAAATAAACCCACTTCCGTTAGGCTATCAAACTTTTTATTTTACCCAAATGATTCTACTCTACCAGACCTCAGTGGTTTATTTGCCAAGTTGTTTAAAAATTACACAAATATTATATTTTCAATATTCTCCTTCAAATTCAAATAGACTTGAATCAATCTCTATTTTACTAGATTAATTTAACATTTGATCCTGTATGCAGTTTCAAGGAGATTTTTTATTAAATAGCACTCACATTCTTTGGAAATTATTACCTATTTTCTCTGCTCACAGTGACTGCTCATAAAAACTGGCCTAAAAGAAAATGAAAAAGTGTAATTGCTTGTGTTTGTGATTCAAAAAACGCAGGATGTCTTGTATGAAACTGAAAGACTGAAAGAGCTGACTGAAATGACATGAAGATTGAAAGGCATTCGATGTGGTAAGTTCTAAAGTCTCAAGGCAACTCAATATTATGTTAGAGATGGGTTGCGATACATACTGTCGTTGCACAGTCGATTTGTAATCTTGAAAAGGTTTTGAGAAGGAGATGAATTATTAGATTGGCCACCTCGAGTGAGATAGTGCAGGCGAGTCTTGTGGCTATTCTCACCCGGTGCGCGTTCACCAAATTTTGCGTTCACCCTAAACCACAAAATTCTACACTGTGATAACAGAAAAATTGTAGAATTCTGTGCCGTGAACGAACGTTCCATTACAACTACGGCCTCGACCGGGGCAAAAGGCAGGATAGCATCACCATCTTTCCATTCGAGGGTGGCAAATGCCTTGTGTGGGACGCCACATGCTCCGACTTGTTCTCTCCGCTGTCCATCATTTCCTCTGCCTCTGCTCCCGGCAGTATCGCTAAGAAGGCAGAAGAGTCCAAAATTAGGAAATATGCAGGCCTCAGCGACCACTACCTCTTCGTACCAGTGGCCGTCGAAACGTCTGGCGCTCTCCACTTCTCGGTCCCCTGACAACCCTGTTCTTCCAGAAAGTTGGTCGTCGGTTAACAAACGCCACAGGTGACCCTCAAGAGACGAGGTGGTTGTTAGAGAGAATCCCTCTGGCGATTGTTAGAGGCAACACCTTTTCAATATTGGCAGCTCCACTGGCGCACGAGTAATGAATTACAGCTCCTGATATTTAGATGGATTGATTGATAGATAGATAGATGGATTGATAAAGAGATAGATAGACGTGATCTAAACGATGAAGACAGACAAGAAGATGGAGACTGAGAGAGAGATATTGTATAAGAACAATATACTACATTATTACTTCCATCATGCAGGGAACAGTTGGTTATACATACGAAGGGGGATGTAGTATTATAATGGAATAAAGTTATCAATGAACTAAAAAAAAATACAACAAAAAAAAACCCCTTCACTTTTATAATTCGACATCTAATCTAGATACTACACATCACAAGTAAGTGACTTACCTTAAGCCTACTTTTTTAATCAATGGGGATGTCAAAGTCCTTGTTAGATCATTTAGAAATCGGCTCTGTAATCTAGCTCTAGCTGAAGATTTGAGTTTGACTTATTTTTATTTCTCTGACAAGTTTCGACTTACGCGCAGACTCAATCAAGGCCTACACTACAAACTACGGAAAGCAGGCACTTGAATCAAGAGTGAAGTTTTAAACATTATTACAATATTTCCCTGAGGTAGGAAGCTATCACAGAAAATTTGGTGCCCCAAAAATCTCAATCAAGATGAAAGATTGTCAAGCATGCATTCTGAAATCATTTGGTGTGTGCTTGTGAGACCTAGGCAAAGCGTTCACATCAGGAGAAAATTCTCAGCAGTTTTCCCATTAGTAGCCTCAAAGATGATTCATGGAATGATGCGGAAAGACAAGATTATGGATAGGCCTACAAAAAACCAGTCGTGATTCCCATGTTATTTTCATTTCTCATACAGTGTACGGCAAGCTCAGATGGATTGGAAAACTGTGACCTAATGGAAGATGGGAGATTTATTACAATTACCATTGCTAAAGTCCTCTTCGGTTTGGAAGTAGGGAATAGAAATAAAAAGGCTGACCTCTTCTAAAGTACATAGATGACTGGGATAGGAACATGACATCAACAAAGAGCAACATGAGAACCTTGGAACAGAGGTGCAAGAAGAGCGCAACCAATAGAAAACGGAGGTGAAGATCAGACTTTAGGTGAAAAAGGGATGGTTAATAAGAGGAAAAGGTATCAAGCAACACTTGATTAGAGACAAGAAAATACAACAGAGAGCGGAAAATTTATCATTTTCATCCTGTGCACTCTGCAACTGATATTCCAGCATGCATGTCTAATTAAGCAACATTTGTCTTCATCACAGCATGTCATATGTTGTTCAATACACTGCTCAAATACTATCATCTGTTGTACCTACTCTTTGTAATCCTGAGTAAGTGATCTTAACACCTTGATTAAAACTTACAGAGATCTATCTCAGCTATGACGAAATATATATGAAAGCGACAGCAAAGTTCATTGGACACACAATGCGGAAAGAAGCATTGGAGAATATATATATTGTAACAACAGGCAAGTTTAATGGAAAGAGGCAGAGGCAGACAGAGGGAAAAGATACTGGACAGGTTGACAACATGGCTAGGAACAGCAAGAACAACAAACACCATGGCTGCAACGCAAGACAGAAGTGGAGGTCCATGATCACTAGCCAGTCGGCTAGGCACCGGATGATGATTGATGATGATCTCAGCTTCAAGAAGAGTGATTTTGTCCAAATTTTAGATGTCTTCATAAACCTGATTGTAGTTGCTATTGGCTTTGAGGAAATAATCAGTTTTTACTTGCTTGATAATTTGGTGCTGTCGTGCACTTTCAGGACATACACTGCTATATCCTGTTCTTATAATGAAAACTTTCATTTTGAGTAATTAGCCCATGTGATGATGAACAAAATGTAACTGTTTATTCTTGTTTAAAAAACTCTCAGTGTATTGTAGGTGGCAATGTGTAAATATATCTCATGTTCATGTTTTCTCCAATGCCAACTACTATTGGTTTTTTGTTGGATTCTGTTTTCAGAGAGTTGCCTCTGCAATGTCAGTGGAGAGAGACTTCGTAGTGCCAGATCATGTTGCACTGTCTCTGGCTAAGTCAGGTGATCTGGCAGTGGAGATTTTTCTCAAAGTCTTGGCTTGCTCAGAGTCTAAAACATCCTTGAGGGAATCTGAGGGGCAAACAGCAGCGCAGCCTTTACCATCAGGGAACCGTCGGCTGGAGGAGAGAAGGTCTGAACAAAAAATATTAGAAACACAACGAAAATCCACGGAGAAGAGGCACAGAACTAATAGAGAGAATCCTCTCACAACGCATCATCATGGGAGCAGCGCTGGTGATGGAGATTTTGTAAGGAATTTTTAGCTTCCAACTCTGTAATATTAATATATGGAAAGTTTAGTCATTAACTGGTATTTTGAGATGAAATAAATAATAATAATGGACAGCATTTGTAATGCATATCCCTGATTAACAGCAAGGTGTTTGCACTTAACAATTTATATTATTACCCAAGGAGACCGTAGTACACTCTGAAATATTTTTGGCATCCGGGGAAACATACAGTGCTTGCTACTGATTAAGTGCTCAAACACTAAGAAACTGACAAGATTGTTCGAACCGAGGATACCATAACTGATGCAGGAATAGCAAACAAATGTTAACAAAGATTCGAGAGGGCTTCTCAACATCTTAATGAAGAGCTATGCTATTAAGTTTTCTGCTCTGTCAGGCCAGCGCCTCAGCATCAACAAGCAGCTCATGGAGAAAAGTGCTGAAGTTAGCTTAAAAAATCAAACTGACTGTCTGCTGCACTAAAGGAGAGGTCAAATTATTTCTTGTTGCTCATATAGTAGATAGCGTAAACACAGCCTCGCAGGCACTCGCGGCCTTCCGACCGCGTGGTATCGGTAAAATCGGGTTAATTCCGATCGCTCTTTCTTTGCTCTTTCGCTATAAAACACCAAATGCCGTACACCTTGTAAAAGTTCAGCTTTTCCTCGTTACAATGGTGTAAGTTGTTTATATGTCCGATTATTAGGAGCTGGAGAATCGCCGACGAAAGCGAAGCCCCTCGCGGTCAGAATGCGAGGTCGGCCGGTTGAAAAATTGACACGCATGCATTCAAATGCTTCACGGAACGAGGGATGATTAAATACCGTCTTTTCATTGGCGGAGAACTGTAGAGCTTTAAACGTGCTTTCCCGTGATATAAGTTTTGCCTTTGGCGTCTTCATAGAAAGCTTTTAAAAATACCGTCAAAATGTTTAAAGATCACTTTTTACACAAAATATGTAAAATACCGGCTTATAAAAATAATTAATTAAAAGATCAGTTCATTTTCTATTAGAATAAAGTAATTAAATTGGAATTATTTTACATCAATCCTTCCGCGAGACTCAGAAAGCATGTGACCCCGCACGCGGGGTACACTACAGTATATATAGAGCCGACTCGCTCGCCGCGGGGGCCGGTGCGGCGCCGGCCGGGTCAACGCTCTGTGTTTTTGTCGAAATTACGACAGATATCGTGTTTGAGGTGATAAAGTACTGATTTGTAAAGATCTCACAGTCTTGAAAAAAATTATGCTCCATATATTTGTTATAGTGATTGTACTCTGTTAATGTGGAGATGTTTAGTGCACTTGTTACTTTTTTATTGTCTGTCAAACATGGGGTTGCAGCCAGTGACTGACGTTAACAAATTTGATCAAATTTTAAACAAATACAATTTTCTTAAAAATTAACGGAGAGGTTAAAGAATGGTACCAAAATGCTCAGTGGATATAGGCCTTTCAAATGGAACAGATAAATTTGGCATACAGCTACTTTGAAAATTTAGTTTCTGGTACCTACATATAGGTAGGCCTACTGTACCAAAGTTGAAGTTTGTTATTATTTGGAATCTCAGTCCTCATCATTTACAATGAAAATGAATTCTTGTGTGCTCTTTGTGTCAGTGTTGATATTGGGGTTTCTGTTGGTTTCGAAGAGAGAGAGAGAGAGAGTTGTGTACTACTCTGGTTCCACTCGCGTCTCACTATGTCAGTGAACCCGCCGGTAACCAGCCCTCTCGGGTCGTTTTATACTGTGACCTACTTAGCCTGATTTACTTTAGGCAACCTTGTTTTGAACCCATGACCTCGTGGTTGTGAGTCGAATAGCCTAACCACTTGACCACTGACACCACGAAAATGGCCTTATCGCTTTCCACATGATTTCTAACTTATATCTGGAGTGTTTCGTCTGCCCTTGGCTTGGCTTCATGAAGGTCAGCAGGTCTGTAGATTAATTCAGAGGTCGCATTTCTACCAACATTTGAAAAGATATACCTACCATTCTCCCCGTTACCCTCAAGAAACCACAAATAGAATGCTAAATTTCCAATGTGTGTTGGCACAGGTTGGTAGAGATGACTTTGACAGAGGTGATTCCTACACCCTAGTTGATGGAGCAATGAGGAACATGCAAACCCATCTTGGTCAGATTTCCTGTCTGTGTGAGGTGAGTGTTTTTGGCTCAGTTCAGAACTTCATTAAGTAAATCACAGCTCGTTATATCTTTAAGCGAAGGTTTGTTCTTTTCTGAACTTTCAGTGTTGTTTGAAATTGCAAAACACAACTTTCTTTTAATTCAATTTTGAATGATACGGCCACAAACATTTATGGGCTCTACACACATGTTTTAGTTCTTTAAAAATTTTAGTAGAGGGTTTTACAACGCACGCAACTGCATAACGTGATGAGCGCCAAGGGGTGGATGCCAACAGAGAAGTCTTTACAGGGAATCAGACTTACTCAGCGCACCTCTCTAGCTTCAACAGGACAAAGTTTGCTTTGACTATCAAGGCACCCCGGTAACAGCAGGTCACAAGAGTGTGACAAACATACAAAAGAGGTAGAGGAAAATGACAATAGTAAGGATTAGGAAAGGAAAGCAGCAGTTCCCTGATGTAGATCTGGCACAGTTATGAGCAAGACATGATGAATCAGCCCATTTACAATTCCACTGTGCATGAACGAGAAATGTCCCCCCTTTGGGAATGGCCTAAAGACACTACAGTCAGTGGCACTGCCCGGGGTGGTATCTACGCACATGAAATTTGATGCAGACACACAATTGGCAAAGTATGTGTGTCTGTTTTGTTATTTTAATTTTAGATAGCTAAAGTTGTGAGCTCCGTAAAACACTTACCACAAAAAAAAAAAAGAAAAGGCCTACAGGTGATAATGCTCAAAGAAGTAATTGGGGTGTTTCTGTTCATTCTAATGTCGTGAATTTTTCTCTTGGTTTCATTCTTTGATTTATCAAAGTGTGACTATCAGCTTACTATCCCATTTACAAAATAATAAAATATATTTATAGCCAGTAAAATTGGTTGAGTGTTCTCTCTTTTTTCCACAAATTTGAAATGAAAAAATTATTTAGATTTGTTTGCTTTCTAAAATACTACTTTCGGTGGCACCGTTTGTGCCATTCTCCCATTTACCAAATAATGTAATAATATATCTATAGCCAGTAAAATTGGTTGAGTTTTCTGTTTTTTCCTCACCAATTGAAATAAAGAAATTATTCATATTTGTATGCTTTCTAAAGTACTACTTTCGGTGGCACCATTTGTGCCCCTGGAACATATAATTTTAGCGTTACTTTTTCTAATCATTCATATTTTTCTTTCTTCTAAAGAATTTCTTCGAGAGGTGTCCAACAAGTAGGCTAAATGCCGCTGACAAGCGTCACTGTGGCAGATTTCACAGTGGTGGGCTAAACCAGCCAAAAGCTAAACAGTGGAGAAGATCTCGAGAGCAAGTAAGTGTTCCTCAATGTTTTCTTTATAACTGACAATGGCATTACTTTGATTGTATTTCAGTATTTTGTAGAGAAGCGAAACAGGTTTTTGGTCACTTGCTGACTATTCTATAGAGAATAATAGCATATTCTGAAAGAGAAGTGAATGTTGAGATGTAGGAAAGTGAGCTTTGAAATTTTTTGGAAAAAGGGGCAATTGATAATAGTTAGCGTTCATTATATGCTTTACAAATAACTCTCCCACTTTTAAGAACAATGAGTATAAAGCTGTTGCTTATTTTCAGCTTTTTTTACTTTGCAGATCTTGCTGGTTTTTGTGCCTGAACCCTACTGATGATGATTTTGGTTGTTCCTACAAACGTTAACGACAGTTTGTTTCACATGAAAAGAGATACTGCAAGCAGCATGTGATCATATTTTGATTTGGTTGTAGACAGTCCCTCATTTTGACCTAGTTTAACTTTGTTTAGATTTATTTCCACACGCAACCAAAATCAGCCATTGGCAATAAATAGGGGCAACTTGCTAGCTGTCCGCCTCTGCATTGTTTGTAGTCTTGTACAAATGAAAGTTTTTTCTCTCATTTTTCTTTGAGAGCAACAATCAAGTATAATATTTTCAGTTGCCCTTTACCCTCAATGTGAAAGTACATTTGTCAGTAACAGACTGTGCATGATGCGTTCTTTTCATATATCCCTGTGTGGACAGCATGAAATAATTGTAGAGGTTAAAGATAGCTTTCATTTCATACTTTAAATTTCTACTTGAATTTGCTGTTATTCATTTGATGTGGAAAGCATCGTTTCAATGATTTTCCAGGCTGTTTATGAAATGTTATTTTGAAAAACTATTTTACAGAATGAATTGAAAGTGTGTCATGGAAATTAAAATTTTTTCTTAAGGTAAGCACATTTCATAAGTTATTATTTACTATCTTTGGTGCTTGCTTGTGATTGGCTTTGCTCTGTTTTGATTCTTCTTTCCGGTACTATGAACATACTTTTTATTGTTGTGCTTAATTTTAACTGAGTCGTAATGAAAACTTCTTTTCTCTTTTTTTTCCCAAGGAGAAAAGCCGGGCTGCACAACACTTTGATTCTACTTCATCAGAGTCAGAAGAAAGCCGACAAAGCTCAAGTGCTTGTGACAGTGATGCCAGTGTTTTATCTCGGCTGACAGAAGAACCTGAGCACCTTAATCAAAAATACATGGACCTGATTGATCGACTACCGTACTCAAAGTCTTATACAATGAAGAAAAGCCGCTCAGAAGTTCATCATCCTACTGGTTACAGATCGGAGAAATCAGATTCAGTGGAGAGTAAACAGCAAATGACCAGTAAAATGGTCCCTGTAAGTGTTCACAATAAGCAGTCAAAGTCTGGTGGACGCATCGTTCAAAGAGAAGCACCACACATGGCTCGCTCCTCCTCTGATGTTTCCTCCAAACATGTCTCCTTCAGCTCTACCCGTTCAACAGTCATTTCTCCGGTGGGTGCCAGGATTCCCCGAACGCAAACGGCTTCAGGGTCGGGGTCTTTGTCGTCTGCATCAAGTCGAACACGCAAGAGTTTGTCAGAAAAGGATCGTGCTTCTACTGCCTCTCAAGGTGGGTTTTGGTTTTGTTCTGTTTTGTTGTTTTTTTGCCAAAGTTAATTTTAGTGAAAGATAGTTTGTAAGAAGAGGTGGCTCATTTTTCTCTTGCTTCATAGGTCTGGGAGCGGGATGGAGGATGGTGTTTGCTGGCTCAGCTGATCTAATAATTGTCACAATGTATCTCCTGTTATGGTCAGATCACAGGTTTAGTCCCTGGTCCGGCTAAGGAGGCTACATTCAAAGGAAAGTTACTTCACAATATTTTCTTCAATTCACCCAACTGCAAATTGGGAACTTATCAATCAACTGGGACTATATACTTGAAGGATGGCATTTGAGGTTTAGTATGCCTGACAGACTACCACACTGTACGCATAGGGGTGGGGGCTGAAATTGTCGACAGAAATCTTGTGTTTTCATCGGAGATAAAATTTATCTTATTTTTTGCTTTTCAATATGGTTTGTCCCCTTTTTGAACTTAATATTTTGTTTGATAATTCTTTTATAGTTTTCAACAGCATTTTAATGCAGTGAGAGAAATCTCTTTCTCTGATACTTTGCTCAAAAATTATTCTTTCATCTTTTTTTTCTTCTTCTCCTCCTCATCTTCCTGCTGTGACATATGTCAAAGAACATGAACCTTTTGTCTCCTTTGACTCTCTGATTCCTTCTGAAGTTTCTGTTCCTGAGTTTTTTTCTTATAACATACACAATTGTTGGGGACCGTTTTTCAGAATGGATTTTGCTTGATGTTTTACAAGAGCTCATGTCGGAGTCTAAAATAGCATAACATAATGAAGGATATGAGTAGAGCTGAATCATTGTGTGAGGATATGAGATTCCATTCTTTTGTTAGGGAACTGAACATCATTTTGCATAGGGTTGAGGAAAAAAATAACTGACAGTTAAGGGAAATATGGTTCCTTCTGCGAATTAATTTGTTTGCCCTTTAAGTACTGAATAGACATAATTTAAAAGTATGCAACTGTAAGACTATAAAAAATCTCCTGGCTAAAAGGCCTCTTGTACACTACTTTTTGCTGTTCCTATGGGAGAATGAATGTGAAGTAAAGTTTATGGAGCTTGGTAAATATAAATGTCTGCGATATGTAACTACCACTGTCTTATGGAAAAAAGGCTATTTGCAAAATCTCTTATAGCAATAGAACCTTACCTTTTCTGCCTTCTTTCTGTCCATGTTTCTTAAACTCTTTGATTTGTTCCTCCAGCTCCTCTGTGTCTTAAATGTAACCGTAAAGCTCTTCGTCTCCGCTCACAAAATTTGTGATTTTGATTCTCATTTGAGGTAGTCTATTTTATCGAGTTTAGCAGTTTATCTGTCAGGACACCTGCTCCCATTTAGCCTGAGTTGGTTGTAGCAGACAGGGTCAAAGCAGCCTGCCTCCTAAATGATCAAAATTATGTGATCAATGTGAGCGTAAAACATTTACAATCATTTAATTTATCCTCCTTGGATATCTTTTAGTTTTTTTAGTTTTAGTAAGAGTTTTACGGCGCTCACAACTGCATAAGGTTATATGAGCGCTTGGATATCTTTAAAGGATCAGATGTTTTTAACATATTTATAAAACCACATTTTCAGGTGTCAAGATACTGACGAGGCCCGGCAGTTTTGTGATACGGAAGACTTTACAGACCAAGGATTCCCACACGGTCAGCGTGAGGCCAGGGGAGTTCGTCGTTGTCAATTTCCAGGATCACTAGATCAAACTTTATCCTGAATTTAATCAAAAAATGTCCTGTATGCCAAATGAAAAGGATTTTTATTTCACGCTTTGAGAAGGAATTTCTTTGACAGTTATAATTGTAGCTGAAGGAAGTGTCATTGCATGGACATCAAGTTTATTGTCATCAGTATTCTTTGAGTACAAATGAAAGCCTTTTGAACTTCTTTCTTACCTTTTTTTTTTTAGGACAGGAATTCATATATATGGAAATTTTCTAATCTTTGCTATGATATATCAGAAAAAACATTTGAAGATGCCAGACTACTTATGCTCATACTCATACTAGCTTTCTAATGTATAGCTGTCAGGAAAAGTCTTCCTTC